TAATTTTTTTTTTTATTTTCTTAAAAAAAAAAAACTCCCAAACCTTTTCAATCTTCATTTTTTGTCTCTTCTTGGTTTTCCTTTATGTCCCAAACGTTTTGATTTTTTTTTTTGGTTGGTTGTGTATTTCATATTATTTTTGCTAAAATTTGAAACAAAACGATGAAGCAAAATTTTATATATTGGCAGAGTTATTTTTTTTTGCTTGATGCAATGTATTACTTAATTTTACATATGATATGATGTATTATTTTCCTGTTAAGAATATATTGCATTATATTTACTTACGTATTATTACATTTTAATTTACTAAAAAAGTGTGATTTATATTTATCAATGTATTTGATTTTCTTTCAAAAAAAAAGTTTTTGTTAAAAAAAAAGTCGAAATACATATATTTAGACAAAAAGATTATTCTATGCATCGCACGGGCTAAATACTTTAATTGTTAAAGTACACTCTTTTCAAACAGTAGGCGTGGGTGTTCCACATTCCATAAAAGAAGACGGAGCTAAATATCTTACCCTCTAGCCCTCTATCCCGTGATTTTTGAGCCAATTTCCTTTTCAGTCTCTTTTAATTTTGCCTCATATTATTTTTGACATATGGGACCATATCTTTACTCTCACAAGTACCCAATCTTACCACTTTTCTTTTTTATCGTTTTTTTTGCAACCAAAAATTAATAAAGCAATTTATCATTATGGAGAAAAAAAAAAAAAAGAGACGGAGAGTATAATTCTAAAATGAAACCTGTTAATGACGGGGACCACACAATTCGTGCAATTCCCGTTTCTATATTGGGTGGAACAGAGACCCTGAATAAATTAATAGAATCATGGACATGAAATCATTAAATTTAGAGCCTCCAATTTAAACTTTTTCCATCACAAGTAGGCAGCTAATACTACTAGGCGTCTAGGCTAGCCTACTAGCACGGGGGAGGAGAGAGAAAGGTAGCTTGTTCATGATACAGAACGACACTCACTACTCATCACTCAAAACCACATAGAAGAAACCGCATTCATTCATTCATTCACCAGATAATACAGTAATAATAGAGTAATAGTACTAGTACGGTTTTTTTTTTGGCATTTTCTTTGTCTTTTGTTAATTTGTTGTTTCTTACTTCATGCCTCTCTTTCTCTCTCGTTTTCAAGTATTTTTCTGGGTAATGTGCATAAAAATAAATTGCATACGTGCAAGAAAACACTTGTATTGCTCATTTCCCTTGATTGTTATAAGGGTTAAAATAAACCAACAAAGTGAAATTTGGAAGCAACCTCAACTATTATATCTCTTCTATACTCCTTTTTTTTCCAACCTTTATTTTTTGACCTTTTTTCATATATGGCTATGTGACAAATACTCCACCAACCCATCATTTTTAAAGATTAAAATTAGAGAGGGAAATACAAGGCTAATTATGCTTAGTGTATATGTAATTATGTAAGCAAACCGACCGCAAAAAACTTTTATGAGGCAATATTTGTATACCTAGCTACTGTAATTAAAGTGAGGATCGGAGAGAGAGAAATTAGAAGATCTCAACTCACAAGGAAACCTTAAGAAAGCAGGATAAAACCAAGCCAACGTAATACACCAACTAATATTTATAGATTTGTCATTGGGCCTGACTATACTAAGGATGAAACTACGACGTACTCTATCACCTCTATCTATGAGCATTTATTTAATTATGTGGAGTATTATAGAGGGATATTTATAATTAAATTAATTAAGGGTGATTTGACGTGTGTCACATCTTAGGTTAATTGATAACAATATATCACTTGTTTTTTTTTTTTTTGTTTAACATAATTTTTAAGATCGAAAACGAATTAAAATAGAAAGATAATGACACGTACTTAATATATTATGTATTAATGTATTATTCCTTATCTATGCTTATGCTACTCCACTAATTTGTTTATTAATGTAGCAACATTATTAATATTGCTATACCTATATAAATAGCTACTAACTACACATTATTGTACATTTTCGTAGAGAGGATAATAGTACGAATAAGCAAAATAAATACCAATGATGCATGCATGATTTCATTGGAGACGAGGACTACTGAAGGGAAAATTAATTATTTAATTAATACTATAAGAAAATTAGTAATAAACATAGGGGATCTTTGGTGGGTCTTGCCACTAATCATTGTAGAATAAAATATTATGAACATAAAATCCATAAGATATTATAAACAGGGAAAATTCATAAAATTAAGCATATGCTATTTGTAAGCAAGCCAACGGTTGGCTATTGGTCTTTTTCAATGAGTTGATGGTTTTCTCTCTCTCTCTCTCTCTCTTTTTTTTTTTCTCTCTCTTCCTTTTTTCTTTTTTTCCACTAGAATAAATTTAAAGTAAGGACAAATAATCAAACAGAAAGATTATAATATATTGTGCTACCTTTGCCTTTCAAAAAAAAAAAAAAAAAAAAAATCAAACAGAAAGATTATAATTAAATTATTAATTGATTAATTTAATTTCATAAATACTTTCTTTTTGTAATTGCCTGCCCCTCTTTTGTTATCTTTCTCAGTTTCTCTTTAATTTCTTTGTGGTGTTGTTGTCATTGAAAAGATAGGGGGTAGGAGAGAGAAAGCAAATAGAATAGCGAGCAAATTCATATGCTATATTATACTATACCCTCTTGCACAAATTAAAGTGCCAAAAAGAAACCATAATCTTCAACCCAAACATGAGAAAACATAAATAACAATTGCTTTTGTTTTTATTGAAAGTCAATTATGTAAAGGAAATACTCTATAATAAGTTTTCAATCAAATTGAATGCTGAACAAGGTGTCCTCGGCACATATTTCGTGTTAAAATATGTTTCACTAGTACCACATGGTTTTTATTTATTAACACTCACACAAAAAAGTTCTGTTAACTCAATTTCAAAACCTTAAGCTCCTTGCTAGGTTATCATTCCAACAATTTTAGAAAACTCAATTCTTGCAAATGATTAAAGGTTCAAAGGTTAAGATTTTCTTTTACATCAATATTATTGTATACACCCAAAATTGTTTTTTATAAAGTCAGAAATTTTAAAACAACCCTGCAAAAGTAAAATTTGCACTCAATTACATGCCTAATGCACTAATCAAAACAGCGCCAATATCAAAATCTTTGACAAATAAAGGAGAACTAAACTAGGTTAAAAGGGAGATAAAAAGAAAAAGAAAAAAACAAATCATCAAAAAAAATGAAAAAAAGAAAATAAAAAAGATGGCACCTGAAACTGAAGTAGTAGTAGTAGTAAAGAGAGAAAAAATAAGCACACGTGTAGATTATCATAGGAATTTTGGCATGAGGAAGTATTCCAATGGATGACTTTCTCACTCACTCACTCACTCATTCATCTGAAAATCTAATAAGCTAGGGGACCATTTTCAAAGAAAGTGAGAGATTAATTAAGATGCTGAAAAAGGGACATTTTTGATTTTAGATACACTCTAAAGCAGCAACAAACACTAGATTTTTATACTTTCCTACTTACTAAATGTTTCATCAACTTCCTTTCCTTGTTCACTGTTTAGGAAATTTTAAGTGTTTACAAGTATATATGTATGTAGTATTGAGGAGTGAGGAGTGGAAGGATGGTTAGTCCCTCCATCTCCCCGAGGTGTGACCTAGTTTCGACTCCTTATCCCTCCTCCTGCGATAGGAGGGGGATCCCCCCCGGTATGTTATTGTTATAAAAAAAAATATAGTGTTAGGGCTTCCTATTCATTAGGATAAATAAGTTGGGTTCGTCTTAGCTAATAATTTATTAAACATTTATTTTATCATCTGTGTATATTTTAATTTTATTTAATACTCTTATATTTCTATTCTCTTTAGTGTTTGATCTAATTGCACACGGATTACTTCATGAGTTAAAGAGGCTAGGCAACAATTCACCTGCTGAAATTGACATTTGCTAAAAAAGGAAGACTTCAGGTTCTTCAAGTGATTACTCTTTTTCGGGTATGTCATGTAGTCTTAATTATCACTTATTTTACTCGTGTAAACTAACACTCCATCTATTTAATTTCTAACTACAGCTAATCTTGTATACAAGTATACTACGGGTATATTTGTATTAGTCCATTCAATCATCTTCTACCAAACGTAGATGTAGTACATAAAAATTAAAAACCCCTCTAAATTGTCAAGTTAATTTCTACTAGCTGTATACCATAATACTATTATTGCATTGCATTTCCGAGATTGTCTATGACCGGAAATTAAATAAAAGATATGGAGTACTTCGTAATAATATTAAATAAAAAAAAAATGAATCTAGCAACATAGGGAATTTTTTTTTATATACGCAATATGAAAGTTGAATTATTGGTTTTGAGAATAAAATACAAGAAAGAAGACAAATACGGAGAAGTAATAGGTATATACTCTGTGTAACAGCAGTACATATATTATTGATTGACATAACAAGAAAAATAACAAGTTAGGAAATAGTTGTATAATTATCATGTTTATTTATGGTAAATTGATAAGACTTACCAGGCACTCACGACGACAAAAGCTGCAAAATGTGAGAGAATTTCTTTGTCTAATGATAAAATAGAGCTAATGACTCAGTTAATAACATACTAATAGCAGTAATTTAAGGAATTAATGGAATGATTTGGGTTTCTTGACGGCACCTAATTACTCTTTATTTTAAACATTACTTGCCTTAAATCACTGCTTAATAAAATAATGTTGCAAAACTTGTTGTTTAACATAATACAGTAAGAAATTAATTAGAAATCACCTGCTTGATTAGATTAATTAACCCCATAAACAATACAGTAATAAATAAAAGAAAACCCCCATAATACAAGTTATTGAGTGAACATGACTTGTTACCTGGAGAATAAGATGATCACATGTTTGAATTTTGATGGAACTTCATCTTCTACAACAATGGTTGATGATCAAATAATAATAATAATAAGTGTATACAATAAATAAATAAATAAATAAATATACGAGATTGGATTAGAAAAATAATATTATGCTTGCTTTCACATAATATATAATCACAATTTAATCCTCCAGCGTTGGACAATAATTGATCCTTGAAAATAAAGTCAAATTATAAATAATTATATATATATAAAAAAAAATTAAAAATAAAAATTAGGTAGTAGTTGTAGGAGGACCTACACCAGCAGTGCTAGCACCACCATCGGCATCCCCACTTCCGCTGCCACCATCACCGGACCCACCAGAAGCGAGGACTCCACTACTCCCAGCTGCATCCACTGGAGTAGTGGCGGTGGGAGCGGAAGTGGAGGTAGTACTAGAAGAAGAAGCACGTTTCCGCTTCTTCTTTTCGTAAGGGATACCACGGGCTTTAGCCTGGCTCTCCCTAACCTCACGAAGGTAAATCCTTACAGCGCGTGCACCGAACGGGTTGGATTCAGGTCGCCCACCATTCTCTTCGTAAGCAGCGCGAAGACGGCCGATAAGAGCGTCAAGGCTCCCCCAAGCCTGCTTAAGCGGGCAAGCACACGGAGCAGGCGGATTAGGGTGACCGAAATAAGGGCACCCGGTGATGTGTACTTTAGTCTTACCAAATTGGTCCAAATACTTGAGAAATTCTATTACATGTGCTCCACTGCACCTAGACAAAGATAGAGGAGGTTTGTGGTTTCTGAGGTATTGTAAGAAAGTATTCCAGTCTCGTCTTTTTTGCGACTCGTACCTGCTTGGTGGTGTTGCGGTTGTCGTTGTTGTCGTCGTCGTCGATACCATTAACTGAGACCCATCATCCACACCACCGCCGCCGCTAGATGTGCCATGGGCGAGTTCCCCTCTTTGTCCTGATGATGATCCTTCACCACCACCACCGCCTCCGGTTTCGGATGTTCCACCCCCAGTAGTATCCATAGTAGTATGATCTATATATAAATAATAATGATTAATTTCCAATGATTTTTAATATTTGTGAAATTGGGTTTTTTTTTTTTTTTTCCTTTTGGGGGGGGGGAGGGGGAGGATTTATAAGTGATGGGACGTGAAAAGGAAGAAAAGATGAATGAATAAGACGAAGCTAAGTAGTAGTATGTCGTTGGCTCCGGAGAGAGAAAGAAAGAACCAATCCCTAAAAGAGATGGAGGCCACTATCAAGACTCTTGTGAGGAAGAAAAGAAAAAAAAAAGAAAAAAATTATTTTTATATATTTAAAAAAAAAAAAAAAAAAAAAGGAGGTAAGAAAAAATTAAAATGGGGGGAGGAAAAAAAATAGGGGGGGGGAGGAATTTGAGAGAAAGAGAGGGAGGTGGGGAAGGTGAAGGAAAGAAGAAGAAAGAGAGGGGGGTGGGATGAAGGGTGAGCTTATAAATCATCACGTGGCTTTGGCCCCCTCTAGAAGGGACATACCTATGTTCTGCACCTTTTTTTTTTTTTTTTTTTTTTTTTTAATAAAAAATAAAAAATAAAATTTTTTTTACCATCAAAATATTCTTGTGAGAGTTTTATTTTATTCATTGTCTTTTTATGTGAAATTTTACTAATTTAAGGAATGTATTTTGATTTATTAGGTTAGGTAAGGTAAGGGTCTAATGGCTAATAGCTTATAGGGGTGATTGTCATCACTTTGTCTTGTGGAAATAAGGGAGTGTCAATAGGATTATGTGCAAGTGTAACAAGTTGGGACTTAAATTTTCATGGTTAATTGAAGAGATAAGGTGTAGGAAGGTGGTTGAGAATAGAGATGATAGTGGGTTGTGTCGAGTTGATCAGATTAACGTGCATTTTGGAGTTAAATTTGGTTTAAACTTGTATCATTTACACATCATCCATTCATGGCTTATATCCAATACTTGCTAGGTCTTTTGTGTCTCAATCATAGCTTAATACTTCAATCATCTTTGCATGATGAATGCATTAATTGTTTATATGTGAAATGTAGTTATTGTATTTTTTAAAATGTATGTAATGCTTAAACCGTGAGGATTTTCTTGTGTACTTGTGTGGATTGTTTAAGATAGTCCTATGATGTCAATTACTGGCTTTAACTTTATTCAAGATGTGTTAAAACTCTAATATTGTAGCATATTTAATGTTGAAATTAATATAATTTTGTTTGAATTACATAGAATTAATTATTCATCAATACGATTGTGGTACTACTGTTGTACATCTTATATGGTGCACAATCAGATATCTTTCAACACTTTATCAAAAATTTCACATACAATTATTTCCTTTTTTAATCAAACTTTCCTAAACTTTTTTTTTCCCATTAATAATATAAAAGGGTTGATGTTGCTAACTTCGTTCAACCATTGTATTGAATTTTATAAACAAAAAAAGGATGGAATAAAGCACGCAAAAAATTTAACATAAAATCTAAGAAAAATCGGTAAAAATAATCCTAATTTTCACGTAGTCGTTTTAAATAATCCCAACTTTGGGGTGTATTCGCTTTCTTTAGTCCATAATCGGTAACTAACTTGTTATAATAGGTTAAGGTGACACGTGTCACCATGTGATTGGTTGAAAATTTTTAAAAAAAAAAATTAAAGAAAATCTTACAAAAAAAATAAATTAAAAAATAAATAAAATTCTCAACCTCCGATCCAGCCACGAACAACCACCTTCCCCACCACCCACGAACCACCTTCCCCACCACCACCGCATCGGCCAAAACCCTCTTCCCCATCCACGCACCGACCATAACTCCCTCCCCCCGTCCCCCGGGTCAATCAACTACCCTTCCCGGCGCCACTTCCCCCAAAACCGCCAATCCCGCAGCCCAAAACCCCCTCGAAATTTCTAAATTACCTCCTCCACCGCATATAAACCCCCTAAATGGCCTTTCCCCCACCATCGGAACCCTAGTGCTAGGGTTTTGATGGAGGGGGGAAGGCCGTTTGGGGTTTTCTTGCGGCGGGGAGGTCGTTTCAGGGGTTATGGGGGTTTTAGGGTGGGCGGGTTTGGTGGTTTTTTGGGGAAGGGGCGCTGGGAAGG